TTGGTTGGCGAAATTGAAATACCTTACACCGAAGGCCACACCAACAACCATTCCGGCCCAAAAACTATTCAGTTTGGGGAAAAAGTATTCCGTTTGCCGGGAAGGAAAAAAATCATTCCGACGCACTTGCTGGTAGGACATAGGGCTCCATAACCTTGATAGGTACATTGGGCGCGGAGGTGCTCAGATGTTCCCTGGGTATTTAGGGATGTGGAGACTTAGGGTATAAGGAAGATCTGTCATCCTCAACGTAGAAACCAACCTCAGGCTCCAGCGCAGCTCGTTCTAGCAAGGTTGAGGGTAAGAGCACTTTTGATCTAGCTAGGGCAGAGAATCTCAGATTTTGCCAGGTTAAAAAAAGACTCGTATTGCTGACGCTACTGTTTTGTAATATGCCTACCTACCTTTACAGCGTATTTCTCAAACAGACAGCGTCCATAATTGAATTTGGGTTTTGGCGTGGCAAAAACAGCTTCTTTCCAGTCAGCGCATTCCCCTCCCGCAAGGCATAGACATCGCACATGAAAGCAGACACCGGATCAATGTCCACAAAAGTACCCATGGACCTCAAAGTTGAGCTTGTCCTCAAGCCCTAAACCTTAAACCCAAAACCTTACTGAGCCAATAGAAGAACTTTAACTTTTTTGGGCTTTCTTTTTGGGATCTCTATAATAAGGTTTAAACTCTTTAGCCCTGGCTATTGGAGAAAAGAGAAACCCTAAACGCTAAACCGCGGGACTTCGGCAAGATCAGCTTCTTCTGGATAGATGCAGGATCAAAGGCTTCGAACGCAAGGCATGCCCTAACCCTAAGGGTCCATGTACCCAAATAATGCGGTTTTGGGGGCCTGACCCTTTGGGTAAGTCTACAAATAGGCCAAGGCAAAGAGGATTTATAGAAGTTAGGCCACAATGTACTTGTTTATCTTTTTAGTTGAGGGGCTTTACATTACAAATAACCGCAAACCCGAAATTATGGGTATACCGTATACCTTAATTTGCAACGGAATCCCGTAATATACGTTAGGGATCCAAACCTTGCCCAAGGTGCATTCGTCAGACTTTTTTAGGACCCATGTAGGTATTTCTGATTATAGACTTATAGGGAGCAGCTATAATCACCATGTTGGAGGATGTAGGCGGCCACTAAAACCTAAATCGTATGTAAACCCTAAATTCTAATGAGTTCGGCTTAATGTGGGATACACCTCCTCACGGTCCTCTAAGACGAGCTTGGCTATTTGAAAGTCATCCTGGATGCAAGCCCAACCTAGAGTAAGTACCCTGGACCCTTAAAAACGATAGTGATACCAAGATAGAAGGTACAAAATCTATTTTATCCGGTATATAGGTTACTCTAGGTACCCTACACCCTAAACCTGTAGACCGTAGACTGTAAACCCTAGATTCTAAACCTGAAGCAGGCTTCAATTCAATTCCCTGCTGGAATGAGGACAAAGGCTTCAGCAACCATGAGGCACGACCTGAACCACACGGCTGTCTTTACATCTCGCTGTGTAAAAAAACGGTTTAGGGTTTTGGGTTCGGGTTTGGGGTGTAAGGTTTGGGGTGTAGGGTAAGCATTATAAAGACTATGACAGGGTCATAAGCAGCTTATGTAGGAAGTATGTACCCCTAAACCCTGAGCCCCATATAGCCTAATCCCTAAACCCTACATAGAATGGCAGTTTCCATTCCCCTCCATCCTTAGTACCTCTGGAAACGGGCCAGTCAATGTGCGGGTATCTCACGCGGTTTAGGTCTTAGGTTTTATCTAGATGTCACCGTGGCCATAGACCTTACACCCTCAAACACCTGGAGTTCAACACGGACCCTCAACTTAGTAAAACTTAGGCCTGGTTGTGTAGCAGACTTAAGGCTCAGGTGCGAGCAGCCCCACATCAGGAAGAGAGGCCGGGTTTTCGGGATGGGGTGTTAGTTGCATGACCTCAAATATCCGAGTCCCGACGCCATACTGCAACGCATCCCCAAACCTGTGCAAACAAGTGCGTCCTCACCCGGCCCCACCTGAAATGCTGATAAAAAAAGTAAATCTTCCCAGCGTGGGCTGTAGAATGATTATGCAACTGCCAGCCAAGCCACTGCATACAAAACGTATACGTGCCCTAAGGGTCCTGACTAAGGGTGCAAGCAAATAATCTGATACGTCGTCCCCCAAAATTTCCCCCTTTGAGATGACCCCAACATAGCCCTCATGAACCGATGTAGCCTCAATCCCAAAAGCCCATCAGCTTCGTTTATCCCTAGAAACCGTTGCTTAGAAGGTTCAGGGGTAGTCCACAGGGTTTAGAGTTCTGGGTTTAGGGACAAACGGGACATCGGTACCTAAGTAATTAGCTTTCATGATAGAGATCCTGCGTACTTCCTCAGTCACAATTACCCATCACCTCCCGGTGAGCCCCGAAGCCCCGAAGCCCCAAGCCCTCATCCCTACACCCTAAGCCCTAATCCCAAAAGCATAAACCCTAAACCCTAAGCCCTACACCCTAAGCCCTAAACCCTAAGCCCTAAACCCTAAACCCTAAACCCTAAACCCTAAACCCTAAATGCTCGTCCTGCGAGGTCTATCAGGAGATTTTCCCCCTGTTTGTGTACTCCCGTGCTGGCCTCAGAATCAGTGGGTAGGGTCTAGGGCTTAGGGCTTAGGGCTTAGGGTTTAGGGTTTAGGGTTTAGGGCTTACCTGGACCCCAAAAGTATGTAAAATAATTTCGGCAAAATTAGGGCGGTAGAGTTTGGGATTTGTCGTTTATGCCCATGGGGTTGGATTGAATCCAGGGATATACAAACCCTAAACCCTCAACCAAAAATATTATATATATATATATTCAGCTACCAGTATTGTGATCCTAGATTCCCTTTGTAATTGTGATCTAGGGTGCTTTCAACCGGCTCTCAGGATCCTGTAGTACGCGCCACCCTAAGCTCTAAACCCTAAACCCCTAAATCCTAAGCCCTAAACCCAACCCCCGAAGCCCTAAACCCAACCCCCTTAACCCTAAACCCTTAAACCCTAAACCCTTAAACCCTAAACCCCTAAACCCCTAAACCCTAAACCCCTAAACCGAGTACACGTCGGCTTAGTGGGCTCCGAGAGACCATAAAAAGCCTCAAAAAGTCATCCAAAACCCCACCCCCTGCAGCCCTGAACCCTAAACCGTAAACGGGCGTAGAGTCTAGGGCTTAGGCTCTTGGACCTTCATATTGAGATCCCAAACTCTAGCCCCAAAACCCTCAACCTTCACATACAAAGTCCAGACTAGTCCTATTTTTTACAGGGATCTATAGGGGTATATAGGGGCGTTTAAGGTTCAGGGTCCAAGTACCCAATAATTAGGTACTCAGGT